TAGAGACAGGGTTTCACCATGTTGACCAGGATGGTCTCGATCTCTTGACCTCGTGATCCACCCGCCTTGGCCTCCCAAAGTGCTGGGATTACAGGCTTGAGCCACCGCGCCCGGCCCTGTCACACACTTTTATATGAAAACGTGACCTGTTGTGTCTGCCTCCTTACATCTCAGCACGGTGATGATGCCACCTGCTCCAGGCCCCAGATGAGGGGAGTCAGAATGGACATGTAGATTCTTAGAGCATCAGTTAAACTCAAGTCAGGAGGGCCACAAGTTGAACCCCCAGCCCCATGCCCCAGTTCAGTCTCTTCCTTAGACCAAAGAATTTGTCTGGAGTCTTGGCCTCAGACTTGTGGTCAATTGTCTAGGAGTGATTACTGGATGAGGATGGCAGGTTCTGAAGGAACTGGTGCCACCAAGGCTCAGATCTTTAGGACCTGGGACCCAGTGGCCTGAGATGGAGCTCAACAAGGGAATCCCTGAGGCTTGGGTCACAGGGCTTGACTAGGACTTCTCCAGGAATGTGGACATGGCAACCCCCTGTGAGGACATCAGATGTGGCCACTTTCCTCACCTCTTTTGTTTTTGAGATGGAGTTTCACTCTTGTCTCCCAGGCTAAAGTGCAATGGCACGATCTCGGCTCACTGCAACCTCCGTTTTCCAGGTTCAAGCGAGTCTCCTGCCTCAGCCTCCCAAGTAGCTGGGATTAGAGGCGCATGCCACCACACCCAGCTAATTTTGTATTTTTAGTAGACATGGGGTTTCTCTATGTTGGTCAGGCTGGTCTTGAACTCCTGAGCTCAGGCAATCTGCCCACCTCGCCCTCCCAAAGTGCTGGGATTACAGACGTACACCACCACGCCCATCTAATTTTTGTATCTTTTGTAGAGACAGGGTTTCACCATGTTGGCCAGGCTGGTCTCGAACTCCCGACCTCAGGTGATCCACCTGCCTCAGCCTCCCAAAGTGCTGAGATTACAGGCATGAGCCACCTTGCCTGGCCTTATTTTTTTTAATATTAGATAGCCAGCTCTATGACCTTAGAAATTAAACTCCAGGCATGTTTGTTGAGGGTGCTCATCTTTAGGGTTAGGTCAGACTCTGGAATCTGGGACTTTCCAGGACTCTCCGCTAGTCTTCACTGGACAATGATCACTGCTGTTAAACTCACTTTGCACTGCCCTTGCCAAGCCTTGCCAAGGTGAAGACAGAGGAGGGGCCTGGGCATGAGTTCCTCTCTGAGGCTGTCACTTCCCTAAGGCCTTGCTTGGGTGGGAGAGTGGGCTCTAGCCTCTTTCCCTCACACACACACACACACACACACACACACACACACACTCCCTACTTGTGAATCTCACAAAATTCCCCGAAGACCTGCCCTCTGTAGGGTACCTCTCAAAAACGTTTCTGCTTCCCACGTTGATCCAGGGAGCTGTCATCTGTAATCCAAGCATTTAGGGAGGCTGCAGCACAAGAGCCCAGGAATTTGAGACTGCCGTGAACTGTGTGATGACACCACTGTACTCCATGCACTCTAGCCTGGG